AACTTGAAAGCATATTTGTATTTACATCCTATGTATTTACGTATGCGTGCATATATATATATATATATATATATATATATATATATATGTATATATTTATTCGGAATCTTTCAAGATATACTCGTATTTTACTTTTCATTTCGAACCTGATTTATATATTAATGTGTAATGTATGTCCGAAAATGATATCGAACGTTCTTACGAATAATTTCATATCGATTAACGTTAACCAATAATATCCTTATTTCAACGATTAATCGATATTATTGTTTTTCGTAAAAACAACGAAACGTTCAAAGCTATTCGATTAAATTACAATCGATTAAATCATAAAAAGAAAAAGAAAAGGAAAGAAAAGAAATAAAAGAAAAATTTTCCTCTTGAAATGTGAATTAAGGAAAACATAACCTAAGACGATTCAATTGACATATGAATACGTTTACATTTATGGGATAATGATTACGTTAGTATTTTATTTTAAACGATACTGATTATATATATATATATATATATATATATATATATATATATATATATATGTGGGGGTGTATATGTGTAAAAGATATAATTTGTAAGAAAGTGCCTAAAGATGGTATTGAGTTTTATTTGTTATCAACCGAGTTAGTTACCTTACTCTTTTAGTTATGTAGAAATCTTTTTTAACGACGCTCGATAAAACAATTGTAATTGAAGTGTACAGTTCCTGTTATGCTCTGATAAAGTTTAATCGCTTAATAATTCGATCAAGCACAACGTTCCTATAACGTTAGAATCATTATCTAAACGATTTAACATAGCTAACTGATAACAAAAGTCACAATACATCGTTATATATTTATTATTCGTAGCGCTAGTATCGCAATAAAATACGTTTAATATCTTATTGACAATACGTAAAACAATTGTGTTCAAAAATTGTTTATTTGATATAGGTCCAATGGTATAAATAATTATAGAAATAATTTTGAAATAATTTCATTGAAGAGTACTTAATAATTATGGCAAGATATTCGAGTGATTCAGATTCAGATTATAGCAGCAGATACAGAAGAAAACATAGCAGGAAATCTAGGTTAGTTGATATACATTATATAAAATAATATATCCAATGTATAAAAGATAAAGTTTGATTAATATAAATGTTAAATTATTTTCATGAATTGTATTCCTTAGATCCACCAGTTCGGATACTAGTGAATCTTCACCGTATCGTAAGAGATCATCTAAACATTCAAAATCAAAAAGACGACATCGTTCACACTCCAGAAGCAGAGGTAGAGATAGAAATTCGAAAAACTACAAAGGAGGCAGAAGCAATTCTGGTGATAGAGAAAAACGTCGTTATCGTTCTCGTACACGTAGATCGCATTCTTCTGATCGTAGCAAAAGGAAAATGAGATCTACTTCTAGAGACAAATCTAGAAGTCGTTCTAGCAGTTCGCAGTCTACCATTAAACCTATACTTGAGAAATCTAATAATCCCATAACTAAAGGTATAATTTTGTTTTCGTTGAAAGGACAGGATTTACGATCTCATATCAATATTGAATGATGAAATCATTTGAAAAAATCCTGTTAAGATCAAACATATTTTATATACATTTATCTTCTTTACAAATCTCTCTTTAGATGACTTTTTAATTGAACCACGTATCAAGGAAAGTGTATTAGAAGAAATAAATTCAGAAGGATTTACTCCTAAACAATTTACTTCGTCTTCTCATACGAAAGAAAGTAAATTTAAAAACATTGTCATTGATATTAGTGCTGATACTATTCAGATTCCTACGGTAGCTGATATAAGCACCGTACCAGAAAGTATATTCCATCCTTCGGTAAGAAAACATTTTTTGTTTTTTTTTTCTTTTTTTTTTTTCTATATTCTATTGAAATAAATAATATAACAACAAATTATTTTATTATAACATTACTTTCAGATTATGCTCGATCAAGACGCTCGTTTTGATAAATGGGTTAAGAAACTTTATACGCTTAGGCAAAAAGCAATAGTTGATATGACACACGGTAATTCTACTTGACGTTTAGTTGATTTAGATATATGATACTTTACATTTTGTAAATAAATGAATATGTCATTCATTATATTAAAATATTCCTATTAACTACATTGTTTGTATTTTGTACTATGGATTTTTGTTTTTTGTTAAAATTCTCTCTTCCAATTATAAAATTCTCTTCTCTTCAAATGTAATTTATAATTCTTGCCATATAATGGACAATGTAATATAAATTACATTTAACTTTATATGTATATGTTTTATTTTTGTATGATCTTACAATATATCTTGCATACAATTTTACAAATTTTATATATATATATTTATAATTGAAACAGAATATATCTATTAATACTAATAATAATAATAATAATAATAATAATAATAATAATAATAATAATAATAATAATAATAATAATAGATAACATAACAGTATAAAATAGAAGAAACTTTGTGTGTAAAATATAAAAATCAAATTCTAGAGAAATTTTCAAAAATTAAATATATTAGTAAATACGTATTTCCTAATTATGAAAAATTTGAAACAATTATAATTACCACGTAAGTAGCCTTTTATAGAAGAAAAGAAAAAAAAAAGATAAAAAAAAATAAAAATAAAAAGTATAGTGCAAATATATAATCTCATATTTCCACTTAACTCTACAAATGATTACTATGTAATATACACTATCTTACTACGCATGCAGTAAGATACACAATATACCTTCTCGTGAAGTAAATTTCTAAATACTAAAATCCCTCTCTATCTCTCTCACTTTCTCTCTCTTTTTGTCTTTCTATTATATTCAGCAGAAGAATGATAAATTATTATTTAGAGCTAACATTAGAGCTCATATCAAAGCCATTTTCTTACTTTTAAAAATGATCATCATTCATTTCTAAATACTCTGTACTATGTATAGAAAGAATATTTTTCCTTAATTTTATATATATATATATATATATAGCCAAACAGTTTTAGATATTTAACTTAAATATTAAAGGTACACACGTGTTCCTAATATATATACCAGAATATTAAATGCATGGAATGCAATACATTCATTTTTCTACACATTTTTATTTGTCTTTTTTTCTTTTTCCTTTTTTTTTTCTTTTTCTTTTTAAATATAAGTTTTCTGCTAATAATTTGAAATATATAATGAACTTTGGAGATTAAAATTGATCTAACAAAGATTTAGTATTGTTTAAAAATAGTCCTACTAAAATTACAAATGATTAGAAATATATTGCGTTATTAGAGTATATATAACACGCTAAAAAAAAAGCGTATGATATATATATATATATATATATATCATGGATATACATTGAATATCTTAATTGAAACAGAATAAAGAGTAAATATCTTTTATATTTGATACAAAAGTTATTTAAATGACTTTCTCAATTTCGACTCATAGTTATTTTATTTATCTTGCAAATTTAGCAATTCCAATTGAGAAAAAGTTATTCCTTCTATTCAACCTTAAAATCTGATATGTATCTATTTAAAGTAAGAGCAAGCTTTGTTTGTTAACATATGAAAAGATATTATATAACCATTGCAATATATAATTTCTTTAAGACGAAGAAAATATATAAGATAATGTAATATATATATATGTATACATATTATAATATATATATATTTTATAAAATATATATATATTAAAATATATATATATTTTATTTGATATTACGGAAAAGAGGTATAAGGTAATTACTATCTGTTTAAAACAATTTTTCCATGTGATGATAATAATAATGTTTTAATTTAAATATAATAGACACATCCTTTTTACAAGATTTAATTAAAAACATAATCACATTGTTTAACAAATGTGATAAATATTTATCATCAACAAACTTCAATTGAAATCAATTATATCTGTTCGATATATCCTATATAAGCTTATAAAAAGAATGTAGCCTATTAATTTTTTTTCGAATTCTATTGCACATCTAAGATTAACCAGTAACTGCATGACGTTTAATTATCCACATTAGATATCAATGCGAATATAAATGATGACTGCTATCCGGGATTAAGAAGATAAATGTTGTGGAAAGACATAATGGTGTTGAAAAGTAGACTTATATCTGAAAAATATAAAATTGACAATTTAATCTTGAAATGTTAAAATTAATGAAAAACAAATTATAACAAAGCATTATATAAATAATAAAAGTTATATTGATAAAAGAAATTGGTATAGTCACCTATGTTTTCCGGGTATTACATAACTTTTTTTTTTATTTTTTTTTTTATTTTTTTACACCAATCTACTGAGTCTTAATTGCCTAAAAAATGTAAATTCCTTTGTGTGTTTACTTATGGAATTCACTCAGATTCAAAATATCAACTTCTACAATATCTTTGCCAGCGAATTGTGCAAAAATACCGCTTGATGCTTCCCTTTTAACAACTAAAATTTGTTTATATTTATTTATTAATCATATAGATATATAAAATTATGATCAAATAAAGAATTAAAAGAGAGGATAAATCAATATTGATTCTCACCAGTAGGATTCACTTTTTTTAACATATATGTTGGCAAATTTTGGCATTCACGTGCAATGTATGTTCCCACAGTGGACATATCGGTAATAGGTGGAGTAACAACTTTCATAGTTTCACGTACAATATCTGTATCGACTTCATAATAACCTAATATATACAGTATAATACATATTAAAAAAAAAATATATATATATATATTCTAATCTCACAATATTATTATTATTATTATTATTATTATTATTATTATTATTATTATTATTATTATAATATAATGTTTTATTACCATTAAACATTTTTCTAAGAAGATCGTACAAATTGTGCGGTGGTAAAACTCTTTGACGATTCAATGGCATAACAAAACAGCAACGACCATCGATATCTATAATTCCAGTTTTATTCTGAAAAATAATATTATATGATAGAAAAATATGATTATTATTATTATTATTATTATTATTCTTTTTTAAAGGGGGGAAAAAAAAAAGAAATTCTTTCTAACTTACAATATTAAAATCGTGTATAAAACGTCCTTGACGACCACCACGAAAATCTGGCACATCAATCTTTTCATAATGTTCATTTTCAAGATCAATTTCAAATCGTTCTTTAAGAAAACTCTTAATATTATTGTCTACATTTCTTTCAAGATCCATTGCTTCTTGTTCGGTGGCTTTAGTTAAACTCTTGAATAAATTTGAGTCGGCTATGATTGCCTGATGCATAGTATCACCACCATATGGTGCTTTATCATATGGAATGCTATACCATCCAGTACGGAATCTATGTATTTGTGCTCTGGCATATTGTATATATATGTAAAGACCCCCTATTACACCAATTATTAATATCATCAATGCAATAAGGAACAAGGAGAACGTAGCGGTCACGTGAATTCTATGAATGTTTCTGCGTGCAACAAAATAATGTCTACCCACATCTGGTTTTTGGACTTGAGCCTCAGGATCAGTTTTTGAAGAATCCTATATGATATAAAGAAAATACAATTTTTTTTCCTTTCTTTTTTTTTTGCATAATAAATAAAATATTATCTAACAAAATTTGTTATCATTTGTCTGCCATACAAATTTCATACATGTCAAACCACATTTTATATATGTGAGTGTGTATTTGTGTGTGTAGTTATACATATATATATACATAAATATATATATATATATATATATATATATATATGATATATATATATAAAACTTCCTTTATGATAAAAATTATCACTGTAATATTGATATATATCACATGACATATACATCATATACACATACATACATACATACATACATACATACATATACCTATTGAATATGAAAATATATTTGATGGAAGTAATTATATAAAATTTTTTTAAGATAATTCCATAATAAACAAAAGATTAGGCCTATTATTAATAAAAATAAAATGAAGTAAAAAAGAAAAAAAAAGAAAAAGAAAAAAGAGGTTAATTATAATAAAATACAGACATACGAACGATACCGCTATCAAATGTCAAGATAAACGTGCTAACCGCAGTAGTTTCTTCTACAAACAATGGCTGCTCCATTTTCTCCGACGCCTTCTTCTCACTGATTGCTTTCGTGATGATAGTCATTTTTCTGTCCCTTTTATTCTCTCTTTGCCTTCGTAAATTATTACGATAAAATATTTGATCGAGTTTACGTCGTCATGTGCCAAACGAAACGATCAATGTCAGTGCAAAATATTGCACTAATTTTTCCTCAAAATAATGATTATAACAGTCGTACACGTACAAGGAGAAGAGCCAAATGATGTCCTCGAACTAACACCAAACTGCGCACATGCAAACATCGAAATCCTCTTCTCGAGATTGATCGGTGACAGCAGCGCCACTACTCGATTAATCGTAAACGCGCGCATGCGTCAAATAAATGCCGCGTTATTTAACATCAGTTAAAAGAATTGTCGATATTATTTCTTTTTTTTTTTTTTGTAATTAAATCCGCATGAGATCAATCAAATTTATACTTTACGAAGCAATTGTACTTATATATACTTTACATCCAAAAAAATAATTTTATTTTATTTTCTTTCTATGGCAATTAAATTTGTTTAAAAATAATTCCGAAATCTCTGCATTTGCTTTATACAATACACTAGCGACTTCATTTTTTCAAGTACTAAATATATCAATTTGAGAGATTTATCGACGATACACAGTCGATACATTATCCGTCGATATATTTTTTAACTTTTTTAACTTGCTTTATTCTGCCATCTTGTGTAACCCAATAGAATTGATTGTTATAACTGTTTTTTATCTCCCTATTCAAAATTCTTGAGAATAGGTATAATCGATTTTGAAGTGATAAGGCAGTGGTCTTTTGTGCGTATCTTTCATTAATTGTACGTTCCCTTTTATAAAGATATTCTTATTTTGAAAAGAAAACATGGAATCTGCTTTTGTACATCTTGAAGAAAGCGTAAGATTTATCATTAAATTAACATTTCTCTCGACAAAATCTTAAATTTATAACAATTCTTAATATAAATGATAAATAATATTAATTATTGTTCATAACCGTAGGTTCAAAAGGCTGATGGAAAATTAGATATGATTGCTTGGCAAATAGATGCCTTTGAGAAAGAATTTGAAGATCCAGATAGCGAGGTATTATATTTTAATGCATAAAAGAACAATGTAAAACTTTAAAACATATTCACTTTCTATTACAATTTATTATTAAAATTTTTTTACTTTTAACAGATATCAGTAGTTCGTTTGTTACGTTCTGTCCATCAAGTTACAAAAGATTATCAAAATCTTCGTCAAGAAATTTTAGAGGTTCAACAGTTACAAAAACAACTTTCTGATTCTCTCAAGGCTCAGCTATCTCAAGTACATGGTAATTTCAATTTACTTCGTAACAAAATTGTGGGACAGAAGACATCTCAATTAAAGTAAGATAAATAATTTTGAAATGATTATTGTTTTCTTATTATTTCTTATTATTTAGAAATAATTTGCAAATGATTTTATCACAATTATATTATATGTTCTATATTTTCTTAAGTATATCTCTTAAGTATATTTATTTGAAATAAGTTTTCTATCTAAAAATTTAAATTTACTTAAACAAACATTATATTTATTCTTATTAATTTTTATTTCCTTCAAAGCTCATATTCTGTATTCTATAAATTTGAACAAGAATATGATTAATATCTTTTAGAATAAATGCTATTTGTTCAGATTTTTCAGCATTATAATATATATAAAGTCTCATCGATGAGTAGTAATCATTCCTTTAAAAAATTTATATAACTGAAAAGAATAAAAGTGATATAAAATATTTTTATTTTAATTAAAAACAAATCTTACACTTCCTTATTTTTCAATTTTTCTTTCAATTATATTTTCTTTCCAATGATCTTATATTTATTGTAATCTAATTTTTCTATCCCTTAATTTTACTATATCACTTTTATTCTTAACATTTCACATAAGATCATTAAAACTTGAACGATTAGAATATATAAATTTATTAATCTGACAAGTCTCTTATCTGATAACTATCTTCAAAACACTACTTAAATCTCGATAATTGGTTTATGAATAAGATGGGATCAAGTGTTTTATTGACAAATAAATGATGTAATACGTGCCATAAATTTATGGCATTGGGGCCAATCTAATATGCTCGTACATTCAAGTTTGGAAGGTCTTTAATAAAATATTAATAGTAATTCAATTATTTTGATGTATTAATATGTTTTAGAAACTATCAATAATATATCATAGTCAATATATTGTTACATTATTACATTCAATAATGATATAAAAAAGACAAAAAAAAAAATTAACTTTCTATCTATACCACCAAGAACGCACACACATGTATGTTAATTTCTCTATTTCAACAATCTTTAAGAACTGCACTGATTAAATATTCACTTTGATAACACCATTCAATACTATCTTTGTCTAGAGATATTATTAAACTATAAATTTTAACATATTTTTTTTCTATAATATTTTCATTTCCTAAAATATGTGCATTGAATGTCTTTGAAACAACAGGATAAGTACAACTTGCAAGGAAAAAAAAAAAAAAAAAAAAAAAAAAAGAAAAGAAAAAGAAAAAAAAAAGGAGAGTTTTGTACTAAATTGGGAAAGAAATATATTGCCTTACCAACATAGTTGCGCATTTACCCGAGTACGTGTACTATGTTATATAATGTGAAATCTGTATTATTATATATACTATATTTATTATATAAACTATATACGCATGTTATTTATTGATATAATCAATACAATAATAGTATTTTTTAGTACTCTATCATTAGATTATATATTATCCAAACGAAAATATTTTCAATGGTATATACTTATTCCATAAAATTAGTAATGCTGTTGAGTAAAATGTTATTTTATTTAAGATAATTATTATTATTATTATTATCATTATTACTATTATTATTTTTAGTATTAGTATTAGTATTGCAAAATATTTTTTTTAAATCAGAAACTGGATTTAATAACTTCCATCAAATAATATCATTTCTGATTACATTAACTAAGCGACAAGAATGTCTTAATAAAGCTACTTTAAAACTCCTATAAGTCAATATTAATATCAATATTAATTAATTTGGAATAAGAAATAATCCAATCATCTCAAATCTTTAAAATTGTTTTACATCAGAATTAGGAATAAAAGTGCTTGTTGTTAGTTCAAGTAGAATAAAAATAATAAAATCAATTTTTCTATTAATATTATCAAATAAGAAATATATTGAAATTAATGATCGTAGTATAATTTAACAATTTTTCATTTGGATATATATATATATATATATATTATAATTTATTAGATATTAATGTAATTTATACAGATAATTTAAAGTTACATGCATTTATAATTCAGTTTTAATTATACTTTGGAAATATATTTATTTATTATAAATATATTTATTGTGCGATTCATTGATCATTTAACGATTCATGAATATTTATTTAATCATTCGATATGCAATAAAAAATAGATAAACAAATTAAATGAATGTTGATATGCATGTAATTTTATTTAACATATATGTATATATATATATATATACATACATACTTTAATTTTTGTTAGTATATATATATATATATATATGTGTGTGTGTGTGTGTGTGTGTGTATGTTAAAAATATTATAATATATAAATTAAGAGAAAAATGGTCTGGAACACATTTATAACGTGCCAAAACTTTGGTCAATTAGTAATCTAATTTTTTCTTTACGAAGAATAGGTGCGTTAATATTATCTATTCTTTCGCATAGATAGGCTATAGAACATATCATATTTAATAGTTAATCTATATATTTAAACATTGTAAGTATATTAACATATTAGCATCTTAAAACAAACCTATCAATTTTTACTTTATTGAAGGACCGTGTCTTATTATCTAACTATAATATATTCAACATTATAATATTAATCAAATGATATTCTTCCTTTCATGACCAATAAAATGGTCCGCATGTAATCGAATATATAAATGTAATATAATAATGCTTCCTATGCATCATCTTTCAATAATTATTTATACTCAAACAGCTATTAATATTAATAGAATATTTCACTGCATGTTTCTTATTTATCTATATATAACATGTTATCTGTATAGTGAGATATTCATTAAAAAAGCTTATGCATATAGATTTATTCATTTTAGATAATTAAATACTTTATGATATTATATTAAATAATCAAAGAAAATATTAGATATTTTTACTTTTTTGCTTTCTTTATTATATCGTTTCTATAAAATCAATACTACTTCTTAATTTTGTATAATTCAATAAAAATCACATTTGTAATTGGATATACAAACATTAAGTTTCTCAATATATACGATTATTGTATGTATTATTGTTCACATATTAAGAAACCTCACACAAACATACATAAAAAACCTCAACGCAAACAAGAACTGTATCTTTTTAATTGTTTATTATATATATATATTCATATTATAATAAATTGTTATCTCTGTAGGGAATTGATCCTGTATATTTGATGCTCTAAAATTATCCTAAACATAAATGAATGAAATAAAATAAAAAAAATATTCACATCATATATTATTAAAAATTTATGTAGATAAAGTAAAAGTTTCTTCCTTCCCCCCTCCTCTCTCTCTCTCTCTCTCTTGTAAATAGATACAGCAAAAGACCGGTTAGAATGACCATGAATAAAAGTATGACCTTTAAACGCGTTCGAGGTCGCAGACCTTCGTTTAGACTTTTACCATAAAGGAAACTTTAATTTTCTATTAATATAATTAAAACTTTTAATTATATAAAATTCATTCTATCACTTTTAATTGTATAATAATTTTTTTTTTTTTTTTTTTTTTTTTTTTTTTTTAATTAAATTATAGAAGGGAAAAAGAATGAAAATTAATACAGGCCATGATTATTAAGTTAATCAAATTAATATTCGTTTACAGTTTACAAACTCCTATGTAAATATGATTCTTATTACTATCGCATATAAAGAGCAATCATCATCCGGTTGATTCACTGGGGTATGTCTGAAAATGGACAAGTAAAAAGAGCTGCGATAAAACAGTATGATGCGTTATCCTTTTTTTTTTCTCTTTTTCTTTTTTCTTTTTTTAATCTCACTGAACGCAAACGTCTCTTTTCCATTCGAGTGAAATTATAAAATTTAAGGCTTATGTACGAGTATCATAAGAATATATTATAAATATTCATATAGTGTACATGCACACGAATATATTCTAACTGAGATCATAGTAGTTTCATGGTCATTTGTAAACGGAAGATATGAAAGTTAGATTTAAAATGCACGAATGCATGTAAAATCGATTGAAATAATCTAACGAATAATTTTGATCGTAAATAACCGTTTAAACTCTATTATTTATTTTGATTTATTTATTTATTTTTTGTTTCTTTTTTTGTTTTTTGTTTTTTGTTTTTTATTCTTTTCTTTTCTTTCTTCCCTATTTTAACAATTTTCTCGTTGAATTATCACGAGACGAAACTTGAATGCAAACGGAGAAAGCACGGAAGTAGAGAATTAATAGAACGAGACTAGAATCTATTTATTTATCTAGTTATCATCATGATTTAAATCGATGAATCAAATAGAACGTTCATCCGTTAAAGATACTAAACGAATGCCAATCAGAAAGCGTAAGCGTTTTGGTACATCAATACAAAGAAATTTCCTTTCGTTCCAACAATTTAACACCTTTAACAACAATCATCGTTAACCGATACTTACTTTCCGCATAATTTATTTCACCGTTATAGGGAAAGTATATTAATCGCTTGAAATATATTTTAACAGAATATATTCAGCAAATCTAAATCTATCTCTTTTCAATGCCGTTTTAACGTTAACTATTGAATATCTTTTCAATATTACCTTCTTCCTCAAGACAATAGACAACGTAAACATATTATGAAACTTTTTATTCCTTCACCTTGCATTCAAGATCGTATATATATATATATAAAATATTTTATAATAAAGTGATGTCACGTAATTTGAAATAATTTTAATCATTAATATTAATTAATAAATAAAGGACAATGTTGATACTAAATGTATATATATATATATATATATATATATGTATAAAATATTTTTTTTTGTTGAAAAAAATTAATTATATATTAATTGTAATTTAAATTATATTTATATAATTAAATTAAATTATAATTAATATTTATACTAATTATTATTGTATATGCAAGATATCTGAAGACAAATGATTAATATTATATTACAATAAAAGATAATTAATAATTAGATTAATTATATATATATATATATATAAAACTAAATATTAATAATCATACCAATATTATTATATAATTGTTACTTTATATATATCCAAAGATGATTGAGACTTACGCTGTAAGAATTAATTTAAAGCAGGAAAAAAGAAAA